AAAATCTGAGGAAAGACATCACCAATTTGGTGTTTAAGTAAATTTAAAAATGGAAGAAATAGAAAGATAGGCTTCCTTCCATTGATAGAGTAACATAATGATTATTTTTGTGACTCTGAATAGTTTCGACCTTAAAATTATGATTATTCAAAATAAAGATAATTATTATTCAAACTCAATAAAAAATTGTATTTATTTAGTAAAATCTTTTATCATTTAGATTATATGGACAAAGGAAGTTTATTATGTAAACTTTAGATATTTTTCTTATTTTAAACATTTTCACTTTCAGTCGTAGGATATGTTTTCTAATAGTCCAATAGTTATCAAATTCTTAGGATACAACATTTCTCTGACAGCAACCCTTCGATTGGTAGTAAACTAACCTACTCCATTATATAAGACATCCCTTCTCTGGAAGAATTGGGGTGAGTTTTCTGGAATGCAGTTTCTGAGATGGAAAACTCAAAACCAATTCACGAAATTGGCATCGATTTTACTAAAAGCCTGCTCGCCCAATTTCATTTTCAAATCTGTCTCTCTACCGAAAGTATAGTTCCGTGTGTGAGAGGCGAATCCAACCCGTCGTGGCGGAGCGCACCGAGACGACAGACAGGGAGTGACGGAGGTGGTAGGGGCGGGTAGCAGAGGAAGGCGGCGGGTAGCGGGAGGCAATATGCCGGGGGCGGGGCGGGGGCGCGGGGCGGCGGGGGGCGGGGCGGCGGGGGCGGCGGGCGGCGGGGCGGCGGGCGGCGGGGCCGGCGGGGCGGCGGGGTGGCGGGGCGGCGGGCGGCGGGGGGGCGGGGCGGCGGGGGCGGCGGGGAGGCGGGGGCGGCGGGCGGCGGGCGCGGGCGGCGGGGGCGGCGGGGCGGCGGGGGCGCGGGCGTCGGGGGCGGCGGGGAGGCGGGGGCGGCGGGAGGAGGGGGCGCGGGGCGGCGGGGCGGCGGGGCGGCGGGGGGCGGCGGGGCGGCGGGGCGGCGGGGGGGGCGGCGGGGCGGCGGGGGCGGCGGGGGCGGCGGGGCGGCGGGCGGCGGGCGCGGGGCGGGGGCGGCGGGGCGGCGGGGCGGGGCGGGGGCGGCGGGGGGGCGGGCGGGGGCGGCGCGGGGCGGCGGGGGCGGCGGGGCGGCGGGGCGTGCGGGGGGCGGGCGGACGGGGAGGGCGGCGGCGGCGGGGCGGCGGGCGGCGTAGGGGCAGGGGAGGCGGCGGGCGGCGGGCGAGGCGGGGCGGGGCCGCCGGGGTAAGGTCGGCGGGGCGGCGCGGGGTGAGACGGGGGCGGGCGGCAGGTCATAGGCGGTTTCCGGGCCCGGCTGACCGCAGGGGAGGCCAGTATCGGAAGCCGTCTGTGCGGAGCCGATCGCCGCGGTCGGGCGCCTTGACGCAGACAGCGCGCGAGCAACGCAGAGGGGCGGATGCGGTGGGGACGAGGAGGCGGGAGAATATGGGGATGAACGGGCGGCGTAGAGAAAATATGAGTAGTTTTCGCGTAATGTTGTGTGAAATATTAGCAAAAAAATATCATTTTTGGTGAATTCTATATTGGAAATTATCAAAATGACATCGTAAAAGTACAATCTTGATGATAGAGATTTTTTACATAAATAAATATTATATACCAAAGTTGATCTTTAAATATAATCAGGAATATCCTTTTGAAAATATGAGTAATTTTCAGGATTTTTTCCAAATCCTCAAATTTGCAAATTCGAATTTCTCACTCTTATTTTGCTGAAGAGAGAGTTTCTCGATATATCACGTCATAATACAACAATGGCAATGCCAGGACACGGCAGTTTGTAATTCTGATAATTTCTTCCTATTGTTGGACGATACTGTGTCGCTGTATGCAAGACAATTTTGGATTGTTGTATTTGTGGCGATGTGTTTATTTCGCACCTCATGCGCTACGATTGCTAATGTGTTTTACAAATTAGTTTTACAAGTAATATGTTTTCAAATACCATCTCTTTATTTAAATGATACAAATTACAACCTTTTAATTTGTTTATCATTATTACATTGAATGCTTGCAATCGATTATTTTTTTATATTCATCTTATGGAAAGCACACACGGACCAGAATACAAACAAATGCGGTCCAATACATCACAATGTGATATCACAACAATAAAAGTCTTCAGAAGGATACAATAAAAGTTAAGCCCCTAAAGAGGCACTTATAACTTCTGAATCTATTCCACAGCCTTTATTGATAGTTCTCTGTTCATGTCACTTTCAAGAGAATAGTAATTGGAGATTATTTTCAACAAAAACATTTGCAGAAGAGGTATTCATTATATTCTTCGTGCATATGTAAATGAGTTTTATTCATTAGTTAACTGATTGCGGACGTCACAACGCGTCAAAAAGCGAAGTGTTGTTTTTATGTAGTTCATGTACGAGTTGTAGTTTGCTGGTCAAACATTCCAATGAATCTCGGCTTTCATATTCGTAGCTTTCACAGAATAAAGGATCTCTGTGCATCTGCGGTACGCCGATCTTTCAGTTCGCATATTAAAACTGTTTCGGGTCATTTCCTCATTTTATTGCCCATTCTTTCTTTGTTTTCCAGCATTTCCTTTTGCAACTATTCCTTCCTTTTCCTCTTAAGCTACATCTATATTTGCTCGCATGTGTTGAGTTCGACTTAATGCGTGGCACACGTCTTAATGCGTCGAGGAGGCTAGGCCTTATTTAAAATAACGACTTTTGTTCACACCAGTGTTATGAAATATTGAAAGTACTAAATTAATGCGTATAGAACAATTTCTATGTTTAAGGGAGCATAAGAGACCCTCTATTTTTGTGACCAATTTTTTTCTATTACAAGGATTTTTCAGTCGTTGACGCATATTTGCCATTGTCGTTTTACTTTCTCGCTGCGGAGTAGAAAGAAAGTTATGAAATGCTCCTCGAGAAAACGGTGAATTTTCGGCAGAAAAAACTTCCTACAGAGCCCTGGCAACGTGAAAGAGGATGAATTCAGTTGCTAAATTTAGGGGGAAAATCCTCTTCCTCGTGGTGGAGTCAGATTCCATGATTTTTGAGTCCTTGATATCGAAAATTTGAATGACGGCAAGACGTCTGTCAGTCCAACGTGTATGTCCGTCTGTGAACAATGCTAGATGCTAAACCGTTGAGCCTATTTTCTCCAAAATTGATATTTTCAGATCGATATGGCTGATGTTGCGACCCCTTGAATTTAAAACCGATATTTTAATTTTAGGAAGTATTGTACGTGAAGCACCTGGGATATTTCAAAATTTAAAAAAAATGGCTTAATCTTTTGTGATTAAATTTTGTTGTTGTACAGTGTGAAGGACGTTTAAGAGAATGGTGCGGTTTCGTTCGTTGAAAACCCAAATTTTTCGAAAGTTACAAAAGTTGAAAATTTCTTTGGAGTCTTCTCTGTTGCTTAAAGGCAGATTTTGAAATAATTCATGTATATTTTTTCGAAAATTTTAGAACTTTTCGCATAATTTTTATTTTATTTATTTACGTAGTCAGGTAACAGTAGAAACTGTATATGACGTATGAGGGAGAAAATCACGTTTTCCTGAGTTCAAGAATCTTTTCTCGACCCATTTGAACTATAAATAGTTAAAAGATGAATAAAAGTTTGAAAAAAATCTTAGTAAATTTGGGAAAACGTGAAATTAGCAACATTTGTATCAACTGGACGTTTTCGTTCCTGAGTTATAGAAAACGTATTTTCATCGGCAAACGAACTCCAGATTTAATTCCTCTGTATTGTCAACAAAATAGCAATTCATCTCTAGCTCTACTTCCACCACTACCACCATTACAAGCAAAAGGAGAGTTCAACAAAACGTGCGCATAATGAAGTTACATTTATGAAAGTACGGACGAGAAAATACGAAATAAATGAGAAATTACAAAATGAATGCGTGAAGGTACAGGCGAAAAAGTAAGTGCTGTTTCATACCCACTAGTTTATATTTTATGAATGTCAAAATTAATACACTTCATTTACGTTAATGAGATAAGTAATTTCCGCAATTTGAGACCTCACTGTGTTCTCGTCTTAGAATTAATATATGTTTGACTAATGTTTACGAATGATGTCTTCTATTTGCAAAAACCACTGAAGATACTTACAACTATCATTTGTCTGGTGTTAAGATGTTAACTTTTTTTGGCTACGAGGATTGCCTGTAATTGTTGTGTACGTCGTTAAACATTTGATTCAGCGGTTGCAATTTAAATTCGTTGTTTCATACATCAATCTTGTGATTTACGTAGGTATTTCCTACGCTTGATTATTGTAAATATTTATTCGGATCGCATACGTGACGACGAAAAACCCGCGAGACTCTGAACGTTTGTTTTGCGGCATGCAGTTGCGTTGCTTTTATTTTCTGGAGCATTAAACAAGTTTACACTATGTGTTGAGTAGAGAGCTGTGTGAATGAAAATCCAATGCATGGGCGCGGATAATAAGTATTGTACCAACATGTTGCATAAATTACCGCTGTCCTCATTAGTTCCTTCTCATCTTTGATTTCATACCAGATGATAGCGGCGCGCACATACTCCGAATTTATGACAGGAGCTTCCATGTAGTCACTTGAAACACGTCGCCGCCCGAAATTGCGGCGTTTGTCCGCAGCCGGCGGCGACAGTTCTGGCAGCTTGATAGCATTCGCCGCGCGGCCGCAGCTCCGTCGAATGGCCGCGTGGACGGAAGGATATGGCCCTATGTCACAACACAATTGTAGGGCCGCCATAGTCGACCGGAAGGCCGGCGAGTCGGCGCGCGCCCGCGCGGGGGCGAGAGGGCGGAGAGCCGGTACTGAGGGCGGGGAGGGGGGCGCTGGGCCCCACGGCGCGTGATCGAGGATCGCGCCTGTCGCGCGTTGACAGCTGCTTTCGTCCTGCTTTTCGCTCGCGCGCGCTCGTCGCCGCCCGCGCCGACGGCCCCGCCCTCGCCCGCGCCGAAGGGTTAATCGCAGCCGACACCAAACACGGCGCGCCCGCGAGGAATGGCGGCGACCGAGGTTTATTTGTGCACAGAGCCTATTTACGAATTTCCAAGTATTTAGTACACTTAATTTTACGTCTCTTTAGCACAAGAAGTTATCAACCTTCATGTTAATTTATTTTATATTTTGTGTCTATAAAGTTTTCCTACATCTACGAACAATTTATGGGAAAATATTGCTACATTTCAATTTATAATTATTTACTTTTTGACATCGGAATCCGAGATAAAGATTTTTTCAGGTTACGTACTGAGAAAGATAAGTTTTTCTACGTTAGTCAATCATCTTTACAGAATTAAATACTATGTTACAAGTAGATATTCAAATGTATATCTAGGTTCAGTATTAATTCTAAGCGAAGAAACTCGCCGTGGTACCGGGGATATGTTTTTAGATCTGACGTTTGCATAACACATTTCGATGTTCTTGCATGTTCGGTAGCTACATCTCAGTCTAAGTTGAATTCTTAGTGTAACTCACTAATTACTCATTCTTATTTTAAACTGTTAATTGAAATACAAATTATTATGTTCGCGTATTTCATTTATCGTGGCAAAATGCATCATAGACAGTAAACTGGCCAAACATTAAAGTCCATACTTTTGATTTTGTTTTCAGTGGTACATCAGCGTTATGATCCTGATGTTCAGAGTCCTGGCGGGTTCTTGGGCAACAATGTCATCATTAGGTGCAGTGTGCCCAGTTTCGTGAAAGACCATGTGACTGTCAGCTCCTGGCTGCAAGAGCCTTCATTCAACATCTACCCTTCCACCATCAGCGGTGAGTAAAATACACAACGCGTGTAGATCATGATATTCTAAGGTATACACCAAGACGTATTCCTCATTGTACTTGATTATTTCAGCAGTTGCACATCACCAAATCATCATTTCCTAAACTCTTTTACCAACAGAGTTCATGGATAATACTCCATTGACAAATACATGTGCATAAATCTTTTCTATAATCAAAGTACATTTTCAACTAAGCGGTTTTATTGATAAGGCTGAAAATCTTTCAGACTTCTCTCTCATCGTTAGAAAATATGCATACATACTTCAAAGCAGTAAAACATTAATCCGTGCTACCCCGTAGTTAAGGTTTTTAAAAAATGTTTTCAAATAGATTCTAAAACAATGTAAGTGTGTGTATATATAGAAAGAGTTAATTTTTTATTACATTTGAGATTTTTCAAATCATTAAATTATTTATGGAAATATCCGAAATGTATTTAAATATCTCCAGTAAGCGGAGACACGGGCATAATACTATTGAATACCTCTTAAAAAGTGTATCCTTTATTTCATTACATTTTAAAGAAAATGAGAGGGGTGATTGATAATAGTCCAACTCTGCAAAAATATCGACAGACCTGATATATGTAATTGCATTCATGTTTTGTAGAAACATTCACTTTATTACTACTTATTTTCGCCCATAAAGTTTTTTTTAAAATTGGATAATTATTTTGTAATAATTAATTTTAGAAGTGAGAGAAACAACATTCATCAAAGCCTCTCACTTTGAAAAACGTTCGGTGCCATTAGCAGATTATACTTTTCATTGAGAGTAACTGCATAATTTTACAATTTTTCCGTATGTGAACTGAGTTACAAGAATGCAACAAGTGAACATTTTAAATTTTCATTTTTTTTCTGATGGCAATAATTGTCGCAATTATTGGTACAGATTCTGTAAATCAATATGTTTTTGATAGTTTTCAACAATTCAGAATATAAATAAAAAATATATTTCGTCACACCTTCTGAGTTTGAACGAAGAACTGAAAATGATCACTGATAACGATAATAAGTTGGCACATTTCAAGCATTGAGGGTGCACAGATTGAATTTCACATTTATTTTCTCTCAACATAAAACTAGAAAACTTAGAATTGGTGAACACACGAACTCGGGAAAAATTGTGAACTAAGTTATCTGCATGAAAAATAATGTGACAAAATATTAGTATGGGTTTCGGGACTGGTAATTAAAAGGATCTGGTAGACACACATTTCTATATCGGTCACGTACGAGTTGATTACATAAGCTCTAGCTTTGTGTCACTTATTCTTCACGACCTAACAAACTTCACACAGCAGTCTTAGTATGATCAGTTGAACGGTGGTAGAACCGTGATCCCAAATGTTTTAGAGCGTGGAGACATATCTTCGTGGTTCATTGATATTCATCTGTAATATTGGGAAAGAAAAATGTTTCTCTCTCACTCTCTCTCTCTCTCTCTTTCTCTCTCTCTTCTCTCTCTCCTCTCTCTCTCCACTCTCTCTCTCCTCTCTCTCTCCTCTCTCTCTCCTCTCTCTCTCCTCTCTCCTCTCCTCTCTCTCTCC